ACTTATGCATAGCAGTATCAGTGACCAATACGTTATAACATTGATAACGGACTTATTCATAACAGTGTCAGTAACCACTACGTTACATCATTGATAACGAGCATATTCATAGCAGTATCAGTGACAAATACGTTATACCATTAATAACGGACTTATTCATAACAGTGTCAGTAACCACTACGTTACATCATTGATAACGAGCTTATTCATATCAGTATCAGTGACCAATACGTTATACCATTAATAACGGACTTATTCATAACAGTGTCAGTAACCACTACGTTACATCATTGATAACGAGCTTATTCATATCAGTATCAGTGACCAATACGTTATACCATTGATAACGGACTTATTCATAGCAGTGTCAGTAACCACTACGTTACATCATTGATAACGAGCTTATTCATAGCAGTATCAGTGACAAATACGTTATACCATTAATAACGGACTTATTCATAACAGTGTCAGTAACCACTACGTTACATCATTGATAACGAGCTTATTCATATCAGTATCAGTGACCAATACGTTATACCATTGATAACGGACTTTTTCATAGCAGTGTCAGTAACCACTACGTTACATCATTGATAACGAGCTTATTCATAGCAGTATCAGTGACAAATACGTTATACCATTGATAACGGACTTATTCATAACAGTGTCAGTAAACACTACGTTACATCATTGATAACGAGCTTATTCATATCAGTATCAGTGACCAATACGTTATACCATTGATAACGGACTTATTCATAGCAGTGTCAGTAACCAATACGTTATACCATTGATAACGGACTTATTCATAGCAGTGTCAGTAACCAATACGTTATACCATTGATAACGGACTTATTCATAGCAGTGTCAGTAACCAATACGTTACACTATTGATAACGGGCTTATTCATAGAAGTATCAGTAACCAATACGTTATACCATTGATAACGGACTTATTCATAGCAGTGTCAGTAACCAATACGTTATACCATTGATAACGGACTTATTCATAGCAGTGTCATTAACCAATACGTTACACCATTGATAACGGACTTAATCATAGCAGTGTCAGTAACCAATACGTAATAACATTGATAACGGACTTATTCATAGCAGTGTCAGTAACCAATACGTTACACTATTGATAACGGGCTTATTCATAGCAGTGTCAGTAACCAATACGTTATACCATTGATAACGGACTTATTCATATCAGTGTCAGTAACCAATACGTTATACCATTGATAACGGACTTATTCATAGCAGTGTCAGTAACCGATACGTTACACCATTGATAACAGACTTAATCATAGCAGTGTCAGTAACCAATACGTAATAACATTGATAACGGACTTATTCATAGAAGTGTCAGTAACCAATACGTTACACTATTGATAACGGGCTTATTCATAGCAGTGTCAGTAACCAATACGTTATACCATTGAAAACGGACTTAATCATAGCAGTGTCAGTAACCAATACGTAATAACATTGATAACGGACTTATTCATAGAAGTACCAGTAACCAATACGTTATAACATTGATAAAGAGCTTATTCATAGCAGTGTCAGTAACCAATACGTTACACTATTGATAACGGGCTTATTCATAGCAGTATCAGTAACCAATACGTTACACTATTGATAACGGACTTATTCATAGCAGTGTCAGTAACCAATACGTAATAACATTGATAACGGACTTATTCATAGAAGTACCAGTAACCAATACGTTATAACATTGATAAAGGGCTTATTCATAGCAGTGTCAGTAACCAATACGTTACACCATTGATAACGGACGTATTCATAGCAGTGTCAGTAACCAATACGATATAACATTGATAAAGGGCTTATTCATAGCAGTGTCAGTAACCAATACGTTACACTATTGATAACGGGCTTATTCATAGCAGTGTCTGTAACCAATACGTTACACTATTGATAATGGACTTATTCATAGCAGTGTCAGTAACCAATACGTTACACTATTGATAACGGATTTAATCATAGCAGTGTCAGTAACCAATACGTAATAACATTGATAACGGACTTATTCATAGAAGTACCAGTAACCAATACGTTATAACATTGATAAAGGGCTTATTCATAGCAGTGTCAGTACGTACGTTATACCATTGATAACGGACGTATTCATAGCAGTGTCAGTAACCAATACGATATAACATTGATAAAGGGCTTATTCATAGCAGTGTCAGTAACCAATACGTTATACCATTGACAACGGACTTATTCATAGCAGTATCAGTAACCAATACGTTATACCATTGATAACGGACGTATTCATAGCAGTGTCAGTAACCGATACGTTACACCATTGATAACAGACTTAATCATAGCAGTGTCAGTAACCAATACGTAATAACATTGATACCGGACTTATTCATAGAAGTGTCAGTAACCAATACGTTACACTATTGATAACGGGCTTATTCATAGCAGTGTCAGTAACCAATACGTTATACCATTGAAAACGGACTTAATCATAGCAGTGTCAGTAACCAATACGTAATAACATTGATAACGGACTTATTCATAGAAGTACCAGTAACCAATACGTTATAACATTGATAAAGGGCTTATTCATAGCAGTGTCAGTAACCAATACGTTACACTATTGATAACGGGCTTATTCATAGCAGTGTCAGTAACCAATACGTTACACTATTGATAACGGACTTATTCATAGCAGTGTCAGTAACCAATACGTTACACTATTGATAACGGACTTAATCATAGCAGTGTCAGTAACCAATACGTAATAACATTGATAACGGACTTATTCATAGAAGTACCAGTAACCAATACGTTATAACATTGATAAAGGGCTTATTCATAGCAGTGTCAGTAACCAATACGTTATACCATTGATAACGGACGTATTCATAGCAGTGTCAGTAACCAATACGATATAACATTGATAAAGGGCTTATTCATAGCAGTGTCAGTAACCAATACGTTACACTATTGATAACGGGCTTATTCATAGCAGTGTCTGTAACCAATACGTTACACTATTGATAATGGACTTATTCATAGCAGTGTCAGTAACCAATACGTTACACTATTGATAACGGACTTAATCATAGCAGTGTCAGTAACCAATACGTAATAACATTGATAACGGACTTATTCATAGAAGTACCAGTAACCAATACGTTATAACATTGATGAAAGGGCTTATTCATAGCAGTGTCAGTACGTACGTTATACCATTGATAACGGACGTATTCATAGCAGTGTCAGTAACCAATACGATATAACATTGATAAAGGGCTTATTCATAGCAGTGTCAGTAACCAATACGTTATACCATTGATAACGAACATATTCATAGCAGTGTCAGTAACCAATACGGCATAACATTGATAAAGGGCTTATTCATAGCAGTGTCAGTAACCAATACGTTATACCATTGATAACGGACGTATTCATAGCAGTGTCAGTAACCAATACGATATAACATTGATAAAGGGCTTATTCATAGCAGTGTCAGTAACCAATACGTTATACCATTGACAACGGACTTATTCATAGCATTGTCAGTAACCAATACGTTATACCATTGATAACGGACGTATTCATAGCAGTGTCAGTAATAAATACGTTACACCATTAATAACGGACTTATTCATAGCATTGTCAGTAACCAATACGCTATACCATTGATAACGGGCTTATTCATAGCAGTGTCAATAACCAATACGTTACACCATTGATAACGGACTTATTCATAGCAGTATCAGTAACCAATACGTTACACCATTGATAACGGACTTATTCATAGCAGTGTCAATAACCAATACGTTACACCATTGATAACGGACTTATTCATAGCAGTATCAGTAACCAATACGTTATACCATTGATAACGGACGTATTCATAGCAGTGTCAGTAATAAATACGTTACACCATTGATAACGGACTTATTCATAGCAGTGTCAGTAACCAATACGTTATACCATTGATAACGGGCTTATTCATAGCAGTGTCAATAACCAATACGTTACACCATTGATAACGGACTTATTCATAGCAGTATCAGTAACCAATACGTTATACCATTGATAACGGACGTATTCATAGCAGTGTCAGTAATAAATACGTTACACCATTGATAACGGACTTATTCATAGCAGTGTCAGTAACCAATACGTTATAACATTGATAACGGACTTATTCATAGCAGTGTCAGTAACCAATACGTAATAACATTGATAACGGACTTATTCATAGCAGTGTCAGTAACCAATACGTTATACACAGTAGTATCAATAAGGGTATTTATGTCATAATCCGGCGGAGGGTATAAAAATGAAGTCTGCCACCCGAACTTAAATGCCGACCCTGTTCATGGATTGTTTGGACTCGGTACATGTTTTTGATATGTCAGGACGCTGACAACGTAACACCAATGTCTAAAACAATCTGAACACAGTGTACGATTTCACAAGCACTATGTTATTAAATCTACGCCACATTCAGATTGTTGCCCAGCTTTCAATACATATACAGTTAATTATTGCATAACGATATAATTAAGAATAAACAATTCACGAAATGCTTCTTTATATATCGGTGTCATGTCTTTAGAAATCAACTTAATACCGTGCATTTATTTCGGACAACCAGTGAATGATGTTAACTGTTACTGTTGGTAACTATTCATGAATTTAGATTTCAATTCAAACGAAACTTATGAGCGTTAGAGAATTCTGATTAGACGACTATATGATTAAAATAAATAAATAAATAAATAAATAAATAAATAAATAAATAAATAAATAAATAAATAAATAAATAAATAAATAAATAAATAAATAAATAAATAAATAATGTATATATAGTATAGCAACATTTTAACGCAGTAATTATGTGAACACACTCACTTGAAAAATGTTACACTACTGAAAAGCCTTTTGCACACGTTCATCGAAGGAGGTCAAGTCACTATGCCACGTGACCTCAAACGAGGTCAACGCACCCACTGGTTAACAACGCGTAGGCTTCAACACCGACAGTCGCTCTTTTCATTCGATGGCCTGCAGTACCGCTGAGGACCAGCATACTTTGTACTTTCATATATTTGCACGAAGGCAATGTAGACAAGTCACCAAGTCACTTTTCCGTATATGACACGATCCGGCGTGAAAAGGTGAACGAACTATCGCAACCCTCTTCGACAACCTGACATACCGGATTGCAACCAGGTACGTACGATTGTTCTGTGCAGTATTCCGTATTCACAGTAGTAAAATACCGTGTATTATTGTCAAATGCACCATTATTAAGAAGGATTTCGATTTCGACTGCCATATCCTTACCTAAATAGAACATTGTATCGCACGTACTGACGACATGAATACCTCGGTGGCCTCATTCAAAAAGTGGCTGACACGAGATGAATACGCTTACCCCCCCCCCCTCCCCCCGGCTCAGGGCTAT